TTAAAGCAAAAGGAAATGTGCCCCAGTGAGATCCTCCTTGTGCAGCCCCACAGGGCCAAGTCCCACAGTCTGTGCAGTGCTGGGAAAAGGCTGTGCACAATTTGCTCCTCACCCAGCCTGGTGCCAGCTGACAAGGACTGGAACAGCAGCCCCATTTAAATCAGCCCACACTGGAGCCAGCCTTGGCCTCCTGAGACCAGTTTGTCTGCAGCATGACTTCAGATACTGGACCTGAATAGGGAATAATTTTCTTTCCATCAGGTTTTTATCAGATTACTCCCTCCATGGGGCTGAGAAGCAGTGGAGGTGAGCTGAGACAGCAGCCCCAGGACTGCACTGTTTGCCAGCCAGCAGCCCCTGCTGCTTGTGCAGCCAGGGACAGAGGGAGGGATGATACAGCAGTCCTGGAGGAGAGAACGCTGGGTTTTAAAGCACACTAAAGAAGGAGATAAGAGGACAACTGCCAAGTAAGATTTATTTTTTTTGGCAGGACTCCAGCATCTGGAGTTGCAGCTCCTGAAGGTACAGGAACAGTTGAACTAAATGCTCTGACAGACTACTTAGACAGAGAGAGAAAGCCTGACCTCCAAATTAACTCCTGGCAGGGAAGGCTCAGCTCCACATGGTTTGGGAAGCAAGGGGGGTAACCACTGAAAGGCACTGGAGAGCCTCACGATTCCAATCCCCTCCTTTCCACACAGAGGCAGGTGAAGAGGAAAATCCATCCAGGCCTGCAGCAGCAGGCAGAGCTGTATCTAGGTGACCTGTTTATCCTGCAGCTGGACAAACATCAGGAGGCAGACAGCATCACTGTGACTATTACTCTTATCGCAGCCGGCTTTGCTGCAAGTAATCAACTTCCAGAAATAAGATTTCCACCCTGTGTGTACAATGGCTCAGACGCAATCCTGAGCTCTGTTTGCCTTCAGTGCCTGCTGACAGAGCCTGGTTCCCTTTGGCACAGCATGGAACAGCCTCATCCATTATGTTGGCATGTATCAAAGGGGAGTGGAGGTAGAAGTAAAACTGCTCAAATTGCTAGCATCAGCTTCTGCTTTTAGAATTAGTATGTCACTTTGTACTTTGGTTCATTCCACTTCTTTTTAAAGCATACCTTTATCAGCTGCATTACATTTCACCTCTAATTTACATAGACAAGAAAGTACCAGCTGACCAGTCAGCAGTTACTGTGGTTTCCTTACGCCAGCTGATAACAAATAATGAAAATACTGGTGGGGAAATGAGATGTCTTCTGGAACGAGGTGTTTTCTTCCTCTTAAGCAAGCACCTTCTGTAAAGAAGAACCTGCTCCCTACACAACGCTGCACACAGGAAGCACATTGCTAAAGCTGTGTGTTTACCAGCTTTCTTCTGGGGCAGGCACATCTGGGGCAGGCACTGTGGCACATCTGCCCTGTTCCAGGAACTCTCACCCACATGGACTTTGTGTGGACAGACACAGAGTCAGCCCTCAGCCTCTGCAGCAGGAAAACTGCAGACAGGGATCAGCATGTCAGCTCCCAGAGCTAGGAAGCTGAATCAGACACCCTTAAGAACAACGTCCCTCAGGCCCAGCACACACATCAGCACCTCTGAAGGCAAAGGACAAGCTGTTTATTTCTAATGGGCAATCAGTTGCCAGCCCTAGCAAGATGTGAGACCTGGGGTTCCTTTGGAGACTTTGGTGTCAGTAACCTGGTGAAGCCTAAAAGCCATCCATCCAAAAAACAAACCCATGAGGGCTTCTGTGCCACCTCAGCCAGTCACCAGTGAGTCTCCAGCTTGCTGCTCCTTTATGTGGAGAAAAAACATTTGCTTTGAGGCCTTTCACACCCTGAGGTAGCTGGGTGACTCTGAGGGGGTGCAAGCTTGTGCTCCATCCCCTCTGGGAGAAGGGGCCAAGGAGCACTGGGATCAGCTGCAGGCTCCCTGTCCCACAGTGCCCTTTGGGGGTGGCCACGTGGCAGTCATAGGGCCCCACCACTGTCTTAACCACAAGCTGATTTCTGCACCCCAGACATCCTTGTGGCTGCTAATCCTGCCCAGACAGCCCAGAGGGGAACACACGTGCTCTCCTTGTTCAGAGCTGTTCTGGACTGCAGCTTCCCCCAACAAGCCTTTAGGTTTGTCCCCCTATCCAAAGGCATACTGAAAAGGTGGTGACATCCCTTTCTCAGCTATTTGTTGCAGTCACTGCTCACTGGACAGCAAGAACTTTCTCCTTCCTACCCTTAGCAGCACTCAGGTTAAGCTGCTTCCCTGTTACATCTCAGATGCAGCTTTAATACAGAAAGTGAGGCATGTGAAGATTTTTTACTTCTCCAAGGGCCAGGGGGACAGCCCCATGTCCATTGCTACTCCTGACAGGCTACAAATTAAGATGAAACAACACCATCACCACAAAATGCTACTTTACCATCAGATTCTGAGAGCTCAACAGTAATTATTCCACCTGTGTGATCCACTCAAGACTAAAATATGATACATAATTACTTCCACACATTAGCACATTGGCTACAATCTACAACATAAGAGCCCGCTTTGCAGTCTGCCCACACAGTCAAATAATGTAAAGCATAGAATTCAGAGTATAGCAAATTTCCTAGTTTTCACTGTGGACACACACTTGCTCAGAAATACTAATGTACTACCTGGAGTAGCTTAATTCATTAGATTAAGCAAAGTCACGTAGGAGAGCAAAACATCCGCTCTGAAAGGAAAGCATCCACACAGTAGCTCTTCCCAGATAATTGTTGGAAACACCACAGGAACTGACAAGCCACATGAAATCACACTGGACCAGCTAGGCTGACTGCAATGCCTTGATTAAATTTAGATGTCAATTTTTTATATTAGAAGTTCAGCCACACCAACAGATACATAGCACTAGTGTAACAGATTTATAAAAGAGTAGTTTTTTTAGAGACACCCACTCTAAACTAGACACTCCTGGAGTTCCTAAACAAAGCCCCTTTGAAAGCTCTTTTACAGTGTCAGAGAACAAAGCTCAGGTTCCAGCTTGACAGACTGGCCAAAAGGAGCAAGGGGGCGGGGGGGGAAGGGTGTTTAACAGAAGGAGAATGAAGAAAAAGAAAGCTTTTGCAGACAAATGGAAAGTTATAGCCCTGATTTCACTTTGCAGACATCAATAAATGTGTTTAAAATAAATACGTGCCATCCAGAGGGACCTGGACAGGCTGGAGAGGTGGGGGAATGTGATCTCATGAAGTTCAGCTGGGTCCAGCAGAAGCTCCTGCACCTGGAGCAATCCCAAGCACAAACACAGGCTGGGTGGAGCATGGATGGAAAGCAGCCCGGGGGGGGACTTGGAGGCAGGGTTAGATGGATTTTGGGGAGAAATTCTTCCCTGTGAGGGTGGGAAGGCCCTGGCACAGGGTGCCCAGAGAAGCTGTGGCTGCTCCAACACAATAATTGTTCAAGTCCAGGCTGGATGGGATAGTGGAAGGTGTCCCTGCCCAGGGCAGGGGGTTGGAACAGGCTGATCTTTAAGTTCCTTCCAACTCAAACCATTGTATAATTCTATCCCTTTTTTACATCTACTTCTGCAAAAGCAGAGCAAATCAGAGGCTCCCAAGGCGGGTTCAGAGACCACCTGTAGCTGCAGGAAGGCAGCTCAAGGGCAAGACTTACCAGAAGTTTTTGATTTATGGGTTAGACTGCTGCTTCTGCAGTGTGTTAGCTTAGGCTAAAGAAAATCAAACCTCCTGCAGAACAAGCCTGGGCTCTCAGTGAAAGACACTCAAACACTTGACTGCTTGTCCCCTCCAGTTTCTTGGTGCTGGTCCACAGGTTTGTGAGAAGAGCAGAGGACATCCAGTGCCATCAGTTCCCTGATCCAGTTTGATATGAGATCCTTCAAGCTTCCAAGGCAGCAGAACTGCCTCAAAGCCACAGCCCCTGTGTCCCCTCAGCCCCTGCCAGCACATCTCTTTGTGTGGCTACAGCAAACAAGCAACACTGGCACCAACCAAAGATGTTCAACATGGGAAACAAGGAGTCGTCCCCTGCCTAGTACTAAGAAACATCTCTTAGCCACCCCAAAACCCCAGGGAAAACCCTGATTACACTTCAAGTCCATGTGGTGGAAGTGGTGGGAAGCATCACCATGCTGCTGCCTCCTCCTCCTCCAAGGCAGGGCTCTCACTCTGTTACAGAGGAAGTTGAACTCATGATTTGCCCTCAATTCAGGTTCTTATTCCCTCACACCAGTTGTTCACTGCTAAAATTTGGGCCCTCCTGATAGACCCACATCACACTGTTCAAACCCACTGAACAGTCCCACCTCTCTCAGCTTCTCCTCACAGAAAGGAGAAGCTCTGGTCCTTTAATCATCTTCTCTGCCTCTGCTCTGGCAATCTGAGCCTGCAGCAAGCCCCAGGAGAGCAGCAGGTGCCAGGGCACACCAGTGTGCCATACTGTGGGGATGGCACACAGACGGACCAGCCAGCTGCCAGAGGGAAGGTGCACCATCCTCCCTCCCTTCCCCAAAAATCTGGCTTTTTCCACAGAATGATAATAACTTCAAGAAAAAACAAAATGCCCAGGAATGAGTAGATCACTTGGGCAGATACTGATGGGCTCAAGAAAACCTAGGCCCATTAATTCATAGGAATTGTACATTTGCATATTATAAGCTTTAACTGTGCAGCCTTTGGCTGAAAATTATCAACCAAGAGACAGGTGGAATGAGAGTTGTGGCAAATCTAAAGCCTGTGAAACAACCTCAGCATAAGGATTCCCTTGAGGAATCAGCAGTAAGGATGCTCAGCAGTATTCTCCAACAACCAGAGAGAGAACTGTGAGAGACACTACAGCAAAACAAAGCACGAAAACAAGCTGTAAACAAAATGGCCACTTCAAACAAGTCTCCACCTCCTCCAAGGCCATTAGGGCCAGGTGAACACTTTCCCTCAAGGTCAGCGTGCACTCATGTGAGGCAAACAGTGTCCCTGCCAGGTGCTGCAGCTGCTCAGCCATACCTGTGTTTTTCGGCCCGTCTGCGTACACCGGTCCTGGCGGCGGTGGCGGCGCGTTCTGCCATCCATACTGGGGATATCCTTGGTAGCCTGGCTGGCCTGGCTGGTAGGGCCCGGGGGGATAGCCAGGGTAGGGGCCAGGGGGCCCCCCTGGCTGCTGTGCATAGGGTGGGTACGGGGCAGTCGGGCCCGGGCCGGGGTACGGTGGAGGATTATCGTAGCTCATGTGGGATGCAGAATCTGTCCTGCAAAAGAGGGAAACAAACAGGACAACTGGTTTGCTTTTGTCTGCTCATCCATGACCATCTGAGCTCCATTTCACACTGCTCTCCAAGGGCCCTACGTTGTGTGAGAAACAGACTTCACAATACCTCATCAAGCAGCAAATTTATTTTTAACCCTATCACAGGGGCAGGGAGGGAGTTGAAGTGATTTCTCTAAGTGACACAAGCTTAGCTGAGCAGGAGTAACACTCTGCCTTCCAGTCATGCATCAGCTATTCACCCTAAGTCTTGCAGCAGCAAAGCAAAACCCTCTGCTTCCACTCATGAATTAAAATGCTTTTAAGAGAGATTCAGAAGTGGTTATTTCCTGTTTCTGTCAATATTGGAAAGGAAAACAATAGAAAAATGCAGCCTGTTCCAGGCATATTTGATAGCTTTGACAGGAGAAGGAGTGAACACAAATGTCCATTACACTTCTGCTAATTGTTAAAGCCTCCAGACCACTCTGGAGCAAGGCTGTATATGAATAATTTCCTGATGACACTGTACCCCAGCACGTTGTATAGTCTTCCAGTCATACACAACTGAATCATTAAGCAGCCACAAGAAATTAGGGCCTCGGCTCAGCCTCATTCAAAAAGCAACATTAAAGATACCTCAGAGAGTTGATGCTCATGAAGCCCATGTTATGCATTACTCATGGCACCGCCACCAGAAGACAAGACTGTCACAATGCTGCAATTTTAATGAACCTCTAAGCAGCATGACTAAGCAAACCATTTCTTACATTAGGCTCCTGAAGCTTCTCCCTGTCTGCAAAACATAAGTGTATGTTAATATCCTACAAATTCAGGAACCTTCCTGGCTGAAGCAGCTGAACCCTGCCATTTCCTTCCCCGATCACAGGGTGCAGACAGATCACCAGTTCCCCTTTGCTACCCACCTCCGCCCCCACGGCACAGGGAGAACACCAGGAGCACACTGCCGCGGCCGGGCTCGCCGAGGCAGAGCGGGGCTGGCCAGCAGCATCCCCTCGGGATGGCACCGGGACGGGCACGGAGCCGGCCCGGGCCGACTGCTCAGCACTCGCTCCCACCCTGGGGGACGGCAGCAGGAACCACGGGCACACCCAGCAGCTGGGGCTGAGGCAGCCCGGGGGGTTCCAGCCCGGCTCGGCGAGCGGAGCCCAGCGCGGCTGGAACCCAGCCGAGCACGGATCCCCAGCCGAGCGCGGATCCCAGCCCGGTGCGGATCCCAGCCCGGCGCGGATCCCGCCAGCCGAGCACGGATCCCCAGCCGAGCACGGATCCCCAGCCGAGCACGGATCCCGAGCCGAGCACGGATCCCGAGCCCGGCGCGGATCCCAGCCCGGCGCGGATCCCCAGCCCGGCGCGGATCCCCAGCCGAGCACGGATCCCAGCCCGGCGCGGATCCCGAGGCTCTCGCTCGTTTACACGCTGCTCCTGCCCGGAGGTCGGCAGCACGATGGTGCCAAGCGGCACCGCGCACGCAGCCCGGCTGATCCCACGCTGTGCCTGCGACCCAGGGGCTGCTCCAAGGGGACAGGGCTGCCAACCCCCTGCGGGACAGCGAGGAGCCCTTGAGGCTCGCAGGCTGCAGCTGTCACTCACCTGAATTCATCCTAGCGCTCCTCTTGTGTGCCAGGCACAGCCACAGGATCACTGCCATGCCGAGTTGGACAAGGACCCTCCAGTTCACTGCCTGGTTCTGCACAGACACCCCGACAGCCCCACCCTGTGCCTGGGAGCATTGTCCAGGAGCCCCTGGAGCTCTGGCAGCCTGGGGGCTGTGACCATTCCCTGCTCAGTGCCCCCAGTACCCTCTGGGCAAAGAACCTTTTCCTGATACCCAATCTAATCCTGCCCTGACACAGTTCCAGCCATTCCCTGGGTCCTGTCACTAGTCACAGAGTGAAGAGATCAGTGTCTGTCCCTCCTCTTCCCTTCACAAAGAAGTTGTCCCAGCTAACTGCTAAGGCAGTGCTATACCCTGCAGACGATGCCTTTTAATGGCTTTGTCAAGAGTTTTAACTGCTTAAGCAAATGCCAGGGATTACAGGAATTTTATTTATGATTTGTTTTTTTTTCCCCACTGTGAGGCCAGCCAGACCACTTCACTGCTCACTTTAGAACTGACAAGCACAACATACACTTAACTCAAGGCTCTTTAACGCTGCACTGCAATGCAACGCCCCTACCAAGTCTCCAGCAAGGAAATTCTTCCTTCGGGGGGCAGGGAAAGGCAGGCAGCCAGCCCTACAACTCACTTCAATGCAATCAATTAGAGAACTGGGACATACCAGGCCACTAATGCTCATCTAACCCAGAAAATTGTCCCAAAATAACATCGAAAAGCAAGTTTCCAGGGAAGAACAAGGCCAGAGTGAGTGTGTGTGTATACCCACAGACCACTGCGTGCTGCAGAGGAACCATTTGGTGCCCAGACACGGCCCAGCCAGCCCTGTGAAGGCCCTGGTTTGCTCAGCCTCCCTGACCCCATGTACACCTTCCATGCCTGCTCCTGGCACGAGGGAATCCAGGGCTGCTGCCTGCCTTGTGGAAAACTGCCTCCTGCCCCATCAGGGCGACTGCAGCAGCTCACCCTCCTGAATTTAGGGATGCACCAAACCTGGGAGGTGGCATGTGGGAACGCCCTGTTCCAGATCAAAGAGCCCCAGCCCATTGCCTGCTCCTTGGACAGGGGACAACCTCTCCATCCATGTCCCCCTTCTCTGTTCAAGGGTGTAATTTCACACCCTAGGTACAAATACATGTGTTTTTATATACACACACACACAAGGCATCCAAAGGCAGCAAACAACAGACCATGTTTTGTTCATAAACCTTAAGCACTCCCTGGGCTTATCTTGCTTCAATGAGCACTGTCCAGCTCCAGCAGATGCACCTGGATTACTTCAGTTTTCAAGGTCCTTCTGCCCAAGAGGATGGTCAACTCAGTCCACGCTTCCAAGGGAAGGTCAGTCTTCCTTTCTGTCCCTTCAGATGCATAAATTCATTTACCCACATTCATTATCACTGGCATTTTAGTGCTGAAGCAAGGTTTAACAGATGCTGTGAACTCAAATTCAGTCAGCAAATTGTAACAAACTCAGCCACTCCACTGCTCCCAAGGGGACTCGTGCTGGGACTGCTGGGGGCCACCTTTCTCCATCAGGGCTGGCCATTCACTCCCTTTGGTAGCCAAGCAGGGAGCCTGCCTGGCCTCTGTGCAAGGGAACAGCCAGAATCCCTTTGGAGCCAGTGGAAGCACCAGGCAAAGAGCTGAGATGGGGATCAGGTGTACCTGGTACAGCTCAGAAATCCCTGAAAGAGTGTGGTAAGAAGACAGCCTGGTTAAAACCAACAGACATGGTGGGTGAACAAAAAAACCAGCACATCAGCAGGTCTGCAGAAAGGTCTGTGAAATGGTCAGAAGGAGTTAAAAATCCAGTGGCTTGAGCAAACAGGGAAGTGGCAGCACAGGGAACAAGAAAGAACCACTCATGTTCTTTGTTTACCAGCTCCGTGTTAGCCATGTCAAAACAATTTTGGAAGAGAAGACCGGTTTGGAGTGGAGGCAGTAACTGAGATTTCATCTGCTGATATGGGAGAGGTACCGAGGGGAAAACTGGCCAGAACCTCCTGACAGCTGGGCAGAGACAGCAGAACAACAGAACAGAGGAAAAGATGGAGACTAAGAAGAGCATATTCCACAACTGAGGGTAAAGTAACATAACTGAGATTAGGCAAGAGATAAAAGAGAGTGTCCAGCATGAACACTTTCAGCAGCCACTGAGGATTTGTCTGTGATGAGTGAGAAAACTCCTGAAGAATTCATCAAGGCATTCAGCAAACCCAGGTGGGAGCTGTGGAGCCTAAGTTCTTGGAAAGAATCTTTCCTTTTCCCCCAGTTTCACTGCCAGTCATCGCTACACGTACACACATTCCTCCTTGCCCTTTTTGAGCTGTGTGACAACACTGAAATTTCCTTCAGTCTCATGACCTCGTACATGACTTTATACACTTCCTAGCCCTATTTACTCCCATGGGTATGTGTTTGCATGGCAGGGTTTTGAATCATGAAGCAGATACTTTTCAGAGACATACCTGAGCTCTTAGTCAAACGTATCACCAAGCTTTGCTGTGGGTTCTCACCCCAGCCAGTAATTCTGTGTGAGCTGCAACCAGGATCAGCCCCTGTGAGGTTGCATGAGAACTTGTATCTGTGGCTTTCCTGGTCAGCACCTCTCAGAGGCAAAGCTCAGAAGAAGGAAGCCAGCCACCAGTAAAGCCCTTTGCCTTCCATGGCACTGCAGGAGGTCCAGCAGGAAGAGCCACTACAGAGCTCAATGGTCCCTGCACAGCCTCACAAAGAGATTTCCTTGCAAACAAAGAGACTTCCTTGACTGTCACTAAGCATTTGCCCTGTCTGCTGCTGTTTAACAACAGAGAAATTGCTAATCCATCTGAAGAGAATGGCAAACCACGTTCCTGTTCCTCCTCCCCACCGCATCAGTACTTTTGCTAAGGGGCAAGTTCATTGGTACATCATTGTTTTCTTAAGTTACATTCAAACTCCTTTGTTCCACACTGCTAAGTAAACATCATTTCCCCTACCCCAAGAGCAGGGTTTCATTTTTAAACAAGCTGCTTACCATACCCCAGCCAGAAGGCTGCAAAAGGTCTGCAAAGCAGAAGTCACTGAAGTATGGTGTTGTATAGGAAATGCACATGACCCCAGATGTGTATGTACACACAGAGGCACCAACAGGCAAGAACCACCATCCTATGGGAGAATATCAGTCCCTCTACAGCTGTAACCTGGCTCTGGCTAAGGCTTAGCAAAAGGTGCAAGTACAGAACTATAATGCTTTGAATTCACTACACACAGATATATATTTAGCTTGTCTATTTTGGCAACCGGTCCTTAGAGAAACAAATTTCACCATTAGGCTTTGAAAAGACTTCTGATTGCTTCACACTTACTGCCTTGTACAAGGC